CATGCAATAGATTTAATCCAGCTTTTCGTTAGGTTCTTTCGGCTTTAAGAGGAAAGTTACGGATTGGTCACTCCGATAACTTCTCTAGAACACTTGGAACTCAAGTTAAGATGACGTGGGCATAGTTTTGTAATTTGGATGTTTTGATTTATTGTCGAATCAGACTTTGCCAACAAAAGGGGATTTACCAAGCACCAACAAAGCCACGCCGTCATTGTCGTCTTCCTCTGCTTATCCGGGTCCGGGTCGCGGGGGCAGCATCCCAACTATGGAGCTCCAGACCGTCCTCTCCCCGGCCACCTCCACCAGCTCCTCCAGCAGGACCCCAAGGCGTTCCCGGACCAGATTGGAGATGTTACCTCTCCAACGTGTCCTGGGTCGACCCGGGGGCCTCCTGCCGGCAGGACATGCCCGAAACACCTCCCCAGGGAGGCGTCCAGGAGGCATCCTGACCAGATGCCCAAACCACCTCAACTGACTCCTCTCGATCCGGAGGAGCAGCAGAACCAGGCTGAGGAGTGTGATCCCCCTATAGTTGGAACACACCCTCACGTCACCCTTCTTAAAGATGGTCTGCCACTCCACAGGAGCTGCCCCGATGACCTTGCAGTTTAGCAGAGACGTGTCAACCACGACAGCCCTACAACATCCATAGCCTTGAGATACCCAGGACGAATCTCTTCCGCCCCCCGGGGCTCTGCCGCTGTGTAGTTGTTTGACTACCTCAGCAACTTCTGCCCCCAAGATTGGACAGTCCACCCCCAGGTCTCCCGGCTCTGGTTCCTCCTCGGAATGCGCGTAGGTGGGATTGAGGAGCTCCTCAAAGTATTCCTTCCACCGTTCGACTATAGCCCCAGTTGACGTCAGCAGCTCCCCATCCCCACTGTAAACAGTGTGAGCGAGTTGCTGCCTTCCTCTCCTGAGGCGCCGGACAGTTTGGCAGAACCTCTTTGGAGCTGATCGATAGTCTTTCTCCATGGCCTCACCAAACTCCTCCCACGCCCGAGATTTTTCCTCGGCAACTGCCACTGCTGCACCCCGCTTGGCTATCCGGTACCTGTCTGCTGCCTCCGGAGACCCACAGACCAGCCACGCCCTGTAGCCCTCCTTCTTCAGCCTGACGGCTCCCCGAACCTCTGGTGTCCACCAGCGGGTACGGGGGTTGCCACCACGACTGGCACCGGCCAACTTGCGACCACAGCTAGCAACAGCCGCCTCGACAATCGCAGAGTGGAACAAGGCCCACTCGGATTCAATGTCCCCCACTGCTCTCGGGACGTGGTCAAAGCTCTGCCGGAGGTGGGAGTTTCAGACCGTCTTAACAGGTTCTTCTGCCAGGTGTTCCCAGCAGACCCTCACTATGCGTTTGGGTCTGCCAGGTCTACGCGGCATCTTCCCCTGCCATCTGGTCCAACTCACCACCAGGTGGTGATCAGCTGACAGCTCTGCTCCTCTCTTCACTCGGGTGTCCAAAACATACGGCCGCAGGTCAGATGATACGACTACAAAGTCTATCATCGATCTGCGACATAGGCTGTCCTGGTACCAAGTGTACCGATGGGCATCTTTATGTTCGAACATGGTGTTCGTTATGGCCAAACTGCGGCTTGCACAGAAGTCCAATAACAAAACCACTCGAGTTCAGATCAGGCGGGCCGTTCCTCCCAATCACACCCCTCCAGGTCAAGCTGTCATTGCCCACGTGAGCATTGTAGTCCCCCAGCAGGACAATGGAGTCCCCTGATGGAGCACTATCTAGCACTCGTCCCAGGGACTCCAAAAAGGGTGGGTACTCTGAACTGATATTTGGCCCATAAGCACAAACAACAGTCAGGACCCGTTCCCCGACCCGAAGGCGCAGGGAAGCTACCCTCTCGTCCCTCGGAGTAAACCCCAACACACAGGCAGAGAGTCTTGGGGCTAACAAAAAGCCAACCCCAGCCCTCCGCCTCTCACCCGGAGCAACTCCAGCAAAGTAGAGTGTCCAACCCCTCTCAAGGACTTGGGTTCCAGAGCCAATGCTATGTGTCGAGGTGAGTCCGACTATATCTAGCCGGTACCGCTCAACCTCTGCCACAAGCTCCTGCTCCTTCCCTGCCAGCGAGGTGACGTTCCATGTCCCAAAAACCAGTTTCCTTGTCCGGGGATTGGACCGCCAAGGCTCCCGCCTCAGTCTGCCACCTGATCCACACTGCACCGGACCCTTCATGTTCCTCGTGCGGGTGGTGGGTCCACAGTTGGATGAGCCCATGCATCCGGTTCGGGCTGGGCCCGGCCGGGTCCCATGGGCGATAGCCCGGCCACAAGACGCTCATTCACGGGCCCCAACCCCAGGCCTGGCTCCAGGGTGGGACCCCGGTAACCCTCTGGGCCGGGTACTCCTACTCCTTGATAGTTCATCCACGAAAGATCTTCTGCCACGCCTCGCATCAGATCTGGAAGGTTCTGATTGGATCAGGAAAAGGAATGTGTCATGTGATTTTAACATTACGTGTGATCAGTCTAGTGTTATATTACTTATTATAACACTATCATAGGATTATAATATCAATTAATTAATATTGAAAACACAGGTTTTCAAACTTCAGCTGTTTGGTTTTTGTTGTAGCTCCTTTTAGAAAACATTGTTGGAGACTCCGCAATGAAATCAGCTGCCAGCTTCAGTGAAACGGATCCTCACAACCAGCTGGTTATTTGTTGTCTCTACATACCTCAGACTCACTGGTTTAACATGAAAAAGACAATCAACAGGTCTGTTCTTTACATTTTCACTGTTAAACGACTGTTAATAGTATGCAGACCCAAAGGAAAATGCTCATTAAAACGATGTTACAGTTCCTCTCAGTTGCTTTGGTGCATTTCTCACAACAGAATTAAACTTTGCACAACAGTTAGTTCAACCTCCACAGCATTTAGTCGTTTTGGCACAACCTAGTGGCGGTTAGGGTTGCCTTTGGACATGAAGCAGTTGAGTAAGTACAAATGTCTAAAGAATGGTCACTTTTGACTTGCTATTCATCACTATCTCCTTGCTTTTATCATGAATGTCACAATTATTTATACTTGTACCGGCTGAATAGTCATTGTCCTTACATCTAATAGTCTTTATTTCATTGCTCGTGTCATTGCACTCAAAATTGTTGAACATCTTGTCAAACACTTTGTACACCCATTTTGAAAACCCTATTTTTAAGGAGTTTCCATGGAAATCTCCATAAATTACTTTTCTCAGGTGAACCTTAACTCACACTAATGAAAATTGGTGTGTTACTCTAACTTGCAACCAATTAGGGCTGCAGCTATCGAATATTTTTGTAATCGAGTACTCTATCGAATATTTTATCGATTAATCGAGTACTCTAATAAATTACCCTTTTGCGTTTGTAAACCATTTTATCAAATAGCATTTATAAAATATGAAAGACCTCTTAAAATGAGAAAGCAATTGCCAGTCATTCTTCAAGTTTTATTCTAAATTAGTTTTCAAAACTTCAGCTCTTCAACTTCACAGTAAACAAATGCGAGTGGCTGCGGCCCAAACAGCACCAGAACCGCTCACGGCGCATGCGCAAACATGGCTCGCCAGCTGTTAACCTATTAACACACGTTCGTTTTAATTTCTACACTTTTTTGTCTCACACTAACCAGGATTGTCGAGAAAGCATGTTTGCCGTGGTTATGTCAAATTACACTGATCACACATTTATTTACATTCTTTCGTTTTCCTCCGCCACTCTCATAAATACCCGTGTCCTCCTGCAGCAATCCCGAGGGACAACGGACATCAATAACAACAAAGTAAAAAGTCCGACGTGTTGTAAAAACTGCTATTTTTAGCACATTAAGACCGACGTGTTGCTACCACACGTACGGTGTGAGCTGAAACTAAGTGCTACAAATGAAAAAGTCGCCCAGTGTCTGCAGAATATATAGAAAAACAGGCTAAAACGCATCATCTTGTAGAGGCTCCGAGTCCGCTTGCAGAAGTGACATTTACATGTGGATGTTTCCTGGTCAGGTGCTGCAGCTTGGAGGATGTGGTGTTGTGGTAGGCTACATCCATTTTACAGTTTTTATACTGGACTACGTTTTCCGCCTTACGACGTGAAAAATGGTCCCACACCTTTGACATTTTGTGTCTTTTTCACTCCACCGGGGTCCACGCTGTCCACCATGGTTAAAGAGAAAGTTAAGTTACATTCGCTACTCGCGTGTGCATTCAGTGCAGTGTGCATGTGCGTCACTTATTTCGGTCCGGGTGAAACATGATCCCGCGTGATTGCAAAGCCATGAATTAATTAAACATGAATTAAACGAAGCCTCGAGGCAGAGAATTTGACTCGAGGCTTTTTTGTACTCAAATTATTCGAGGTACTCGAGGAATCCATTGGGGCGACGGTGGCACAGGAGCTAAGTGCTCGCCCTGTAATTGGAAGGTTGCAGGTTCGAGCCCTGCTCAGTCTGTCACTGTCGTTGTGTCCTTGGGCAAGACACTTAACCCACGTTGCCTGCTGGTGGTGGTCGGGGGGACCGGTGGCGCCAGTGCTCGGCAGCCTCGCCTCTGTCTGTGCGCCCCAGGGCAGCTGTGGCTACATCGTAGCTCATCCCCACCAGTGTGTGAATGTGTGTGTGAATGGGTGAATGACTGATTGTGTTGTAAAGCGCCTTGGGGGGTTCTAGGACTCTAGAAGGCGCTATATCAAATACAGGCCATTTACCATTTACCATTGATGTCCCAGGCCAATGAGAAGGAAATACTACAATGTGTGCAGTAATCTCAGAAAACAGCGTTCACAGCCGTATTCCTCGTATTGGTGCATACAATACACAACACCTGTTGGCTTTTCTGGACGCTCTTTTTAGGGACCTAATCCCACAAAATGAAGGGGATGATCCTGGTGACAATCAGACAATGTATGTAGTGGTTTGGGATAACGTTAGCTTCCAGCACTCTGCTGTAGTCAGGCAGTGGTTTGCAGCACACGACAGGATGCTTATGGAGTTTCTTCCACCTTACACTCCATTCCTAAATCCAACCGAGGAGTTGTTCTCTTCCTGGAGGTGGAAGGTAGTTGACAGGCATCCACATACCCAAATGGCCCTGCTAGCAGCTATGGATGCAGCTTGTGATGACATCACAGCAAAGTCCTGCAGAGGGTGGATTCGACACTCCAGAAGATACTTTCCTCGATGCATCGATAGAGCTAACATTCCCTGTGATGCTGATGAAAATGTGTGGGCAGACAGACGGGAGCGTCTAGATATCAGTGATTGATATGCAGCAGTGTCTGTTCAGTTTTCTTTGTTTCATAACTACTGCAGTAAGGTTTACTGTCTAAGTGAGTTTATGTTTGCTGTTAAATGTTTGTTTTACTGTATTTCCCCAGCTGCACAATGCTGTGAACAGTTTCAATTAAATATTTTCAAGAGTGCATATGAAGTGTCTGGATTTTCCTTTACAGTTTATGGTTTTCAACGTGCCATGCATGCTGTCCAGACTTGACATGTCACTGGGAAGCACCTACAAAGAAATCCATCACAATGAGAACGTGTTCAAACCATTTGATTTTGTGACCAAAGGTGCTGTAATGACTTGTAATTGTGACAGCCCTGACACTTAGATTGATATAAGTACTTGTTTTTGATGAATATATTATCGGTTTTGATTAAGGGACTTGCTTTTGAAGCACTGACTATTTATTTTGAGAAACTGACTTTTCTTTTTGATGAAGCGACTCACTTTTGCAAGTTATCCACCATGTTTTGCAGTTTGCACTAATTGTTTTGAGAAGAGCCTCAGTAGTGGTGCAGAGATCAGTTCTGTTGTGAAAAATGCACCAAAGCAACTGAGAAAAACTGTAATGGGACATCCCAATCATGTCAATGTTAGATTGACAGAATACAAATAAAAGATGTTCTTCTTTCTGGCAGATTCAGTTTCCTGTCCTGGACATCCGTCTCTCCTACAATGATATTCAGCTTTTTCTTACCATTGCTAAGTCGATTCCTTCTGCCAAAGCCCTTCCTGCCCCGGTCTCAGTCGAAGTCACACCTGGCACCAGCAAGCAGGAAACTCACCACCTCAAAGGTATATGCAGACCCAGGTTCAAGCATGACATGGGTTATTGTTGATTGGTGATTATGACCTGCATTTGCATTGTGCCTTTCAGGATGAACACACACACACACACACACACGCACACGCACACGCACACACACACACACACGCACGCACACACACACACACACACACACACACACACGCACACGCACACACGCGCACACACACGCGCACACACACACACACACACACACACACGGGACTGTCTCAGCGGCTATTTTCGTTAAGGAGTGTGCAGTACAGCATGCGCACCTCGTGCAGGAGCCTGCTATTGAAGCTGCCGTTATGCTTTTGGCCTGAGGGGGGCGATCGCCACCATAAAAATTCAAAAGTCCAAAAAGTCCCTTTAAATCTGAAGCGTGTAAGCGTTAGTCTAACGCTATTGGTTAGTTCTGGTCGGTGCTCAGTTTCCTATTGCACGGACCTCTGCGGGGCAGGGGACGTGTTGCTTACATTTTATCACTGTACATGATGAGATAATCAATTTTATGGATGTCTGACATCATACATCATTTCTGAAAGAGGAAAACTCCGGAAAGATACTTTAAATCGAGACTCAAACTCACCTGCTCAAACATGCATACCCACTCTCTCCAGAAAACATTCACTGATGCCTGCTCGTAGGTTTTCATGTGGATTTTACTGTGAACACGCTCTTTTTCCTCCTGTTTACTGTGAATTGTGTTGTTTGAATGTATTAAACCCTGTTTTTACTGTCTGTAAGGCAACCTTGGGTGAATTGAAAGGCACCATTAAATGAAATGTATTACTATCCTCTCCTCCTCCCGCTGTATGTACTCCTTCAGACTTGTCTTCAACCCTTAATCTTTGGCAGGAGCCGTTGACCTTGGTGCGTTTGTTTAGCCTCTTGACCATTTTGTTTTTTTAGAAACCCAACTGAACCACTTACAGGACCTAGGCTTCAAAAAGGAAGACTGCAGAAGAGCTCTTTCCCTTTGTAAAGGCAAGTGAGCTCAATCAAACATCACACACTTTTTAACATAGATAGCATTCACATGACCCCTGACCCCTGACCCATGTGCTGCAGGTCATCTGGACCAGGCTGCCACATGGCTACTGGAGAATGCAGAGAATGTGTCCAGATGTTCCAGCACCAGGGTGGACTCCAGCACCAGCAGCCACACTGCTCCGTTGTCCGGGGTGGAGCTGAGGGCCGACAGCATCTGCATATGTTTGATAGACGACTGCCTTGACTGTGACGTCCCTCTAGCTGAACTCACTTTCTCCAGTAGGTCAAGTCAACATTCAGTCTTTCAGCAGTAGTCAAAGCAAAGGCACTTTCAGTGGGTGAAAAATATATAACCAACTCCAAGTGTGGCTAGTTTTGAAGGCCAGCAGCACAACACCAAACTTTGGCTGTCTACACATGAAGTTCTCTGGACTGGAGCCTGCCTCGCCACACCACATTCAGATGTTATTTGTAAAGAAGCGAAACACAGAAGCTAGATAATACTGGGAGATATCGTGGAGAATGTTTGAGTTTCAGGAAAGAAGTGCCCTCTCCACATTTAGAAGAAATGCACGCTCTGTCTACAAGTAGCTGCCGGCCTTGCTGCACTTTTTCTAGCAGGAATCGAGCAGAAAACCATCTGTGGGGAGCCCGACCTTTGTTTTGGCACAAGCCATCGTTGAAAAGAGTCTCCTAAATAAACTCCGGTCTTATTTCCCACTTCGGAAGCCTTTCTCTTTTTATCAGAGACTTGGAAGACTCTAGCGACTCAGCCCATTTCAGAAGGACCCGGTGAGAGCTCAACACATAAAACGAACCCAGTAATGAGCACGTACGATGACGTCCTTGAAAGCTTCACCAGAATGATTGACAGTTATGTGGGCCAATGGTTCCGATGATCCAACCGGAAGAAAAAGATCCTCTGCTAAACTTTTAAGAACAGTTGAGTCTCATTAGCTGCAAAAACCCTGTTTTAGTGATTATCTCTGATTCTAAAGGGTCATCTGAGTGTTTCTTGTAGGCTGAACATGAAAATAGTCTCCTACACCTATCTCCTGCAGACAATGAAACTAGGATTAGAAAAGCCTGACAGATCTACGGCACACTGCCACTACCATTCATGGACTCACCCATCTGGACTCACGACGGGGAAGGCTGTTGTCCACCACATGGCGGAGCTCTTCCAGGCTTGTGTTATTTGTGGAGATAAAACATCAACGTTGCAGAGCATCCCTACTAGAGAACACTGCAAATGTATTGATTAAAGGAGTGTCCCACACCTTTAACAAGGCAACAACAGATTAAAATCAACTCTTATTTACAACGGTGGCCTGGCAAAAGGCATGCCTTTTGAGGGGAAAGGAAATTGGAACTGAAAGCATTAAAAGTCCGAGCTAATGACGCGTATGGGGCTACGAGGTTCTGATGGATGGTTGTTATTACAGGGCTTAATGTGCTGCAGCGCATTGGTTCCACCCGGGAAGGTAACGCTAGCTGCACTTTGTCAGGAGACTACTACAACAGAGAGCTGTCAGGTAAGAAACACCTGACACTATTTAGGATGCTCTAATCCTGCTTTAAAGAAAACAAAGTGTTCTTCTGTTTTCAACAGGGTCAGAATGGTTCCTATAACCACAAAAGAACGGAGGTTTTTATTTAACTGGAACAAGACTGAGTGGTCTTGATGAGGTTCAGACTTGCATGTAGTGTCAGCTCCTCTAGTAAAAGTAGAAGCCTCAAGTTTGCTGCTTTGGGCTGAGATGTTTACTCGCATAACTCCATCACAAACTCCCTCATGGCAAAAAGCTTCGACTTAACCACTCCATAGCACTCTGCTCAGAGATGAGTGTTTCTCAGGGACAGTCACCACCTCACTGAATTCACTCAACAGCAACAACTTGGTACACATGACTGTGTATGAATAGGTCTTCACCATGAACCAGCAGGTGTAGACCAGTTTTCTCAGTTTTACAGACGTTTACGTGGTCTTTCTAACAGGAGTGCAGCTATGAGAACGTATGTGTCCTAATAAGCCACAAGTTTTCTGTTGTACCAAACTATGTTGTTAGAAACACAGAATGGTGCTGTTTGTTTATATCTATAATATTTAGCACATTTTTGACATACGCAGGATGCCATGTTTTCCTCACACAATGCATTCTGGGCGTGATGACGTACATTGGTTGCACTTGGCAGAATAGCTATTGACGCTGGTGTTAGTTTACGTGCTCCCCGTATTAAAATGAAGTAATGGCCATTTCTGTTCTCGGTATTAGAAAGATTCGGCCTGGGGCCTAACTTTATCAATCTAGTTAAATCTTTTTATTCTAATCCCACAGCTACTGTTAACACAAACGGTTTATTGTCAGACAGTTTTCCTATAGGAAGGGGCTGCAGACAGGGTTGCCCCCGTCCCCTCTATTGTTTACTCTCTTTATTGAACCTCTAGCTGTCAGTATTAGACCCAATCCAGATATATTAGGCGTTAAGGCAGCTGATACCAACCACGTGATTTCCCTTTTTGCGGACGATGTCCTCCTATATTTGACTAATCCATCTGTCTCGATTCCGGCGGTCTGCAGGTCCATAGCTAAATTTGGCACCCTCTCAGGCTACAAAATCAATATGGATAAATCGATTGCTTGCCCCTTCAATATTTCTCAGGCCGAGGTCCCCCATTCCACTTTCCAAATCTCTATGAAGGGATTCAGGTATTTAGGAATCTTTATTACACCCATCCTGGCTGATCTTTTCTCAACCAATTACGCTCCTCTCATCCAGTGAATTAAATCTGATTCAACCAGATGGTCCATTCTACCCACGTCCCTGTTGGGCAGGGTCAATACAATAAAAATGAACATCCTCCCGCGTCTTAATTATTTATTTCAGAACCCCCCCTGTTATTTACCCCCCTTGTTCTTTAAATCCCTCAACTCGGATATTTCACGCTTTATCTGGAACAATAAACATCAACGAATGAAATTTTTTACGCTTACTAAATCGAAGCAACTAGGAGGCCTCTCCCTACCTAACATACAATTTTATTATTGGTGCTCGCAACTCAAAATTATATCAGACTGGATCTTGAACAGAGAGTCATCCCTGTGGGTTGAGTTGGAAACTCTGGCCTGCCTCCCTAGAAGACTAACCTCCCTTCCTTACATTGTTAAGTTCGACCAGATAGGCTCTCTGAGATAATACATTGGTTTACAGTACATTATTGGCCTGGAGGGATGTGAAGAAGTATTTGAGAATTCCACCTTTTATTTCAATCCGGTCCCCTCTGGCCTTAAATCCAGATCTACCGCCTCACGTTCGGAGTATTGGCCTTCTGAGTTGGTCCTCCTCGGGGCTGAGGGATTTCTCAGGTCTGTTGTCCTCTAATTCTATTAAACCCTTTGACCAGATTAGGGCTAATGGTAATATTGGTCACAAAGACTTCTACAAATACCTTCAAATCCGTCATTATTCTGAATCCCTGTTATGGTCTGCTGGTAGGTGAACTGTAAGGAGCCGGGGCCTGTTTTACTTGTGGTTTTATGGTGGTTGAGGAACAGATCCAGAATCTTTAATCAGGTGTGATGAGAGTATCTCTGTCTGCTCTTGACTCAAAGAAAAGTCCAGTCCAAAGGTGCTGCCTAAGCCACTTCAAACCACCTGTTGCCATCTTTGCTCAGTCGCAGTAACGCCCCGCCCACCAGACCCATAGGCTTGGCACGATACTGATCAGGCCAATGGCAGAGCTGCTGAGGATCTAATGGAGCATGGCTACATCAGCCTGTAGAGGAAAATAACATAGCCTTTGCTTCTGTCTGTCTACATTTCTAGGGTAAGTGGTCTGTATTAGCATAGCGCTTTCTTAGGGTTCTAGTGCCCCCCAAGGTGCTCTACAACACAATCAGTCATCCACCCATTCACACACTGGTGATGATGAGCTTCATTGTAGCCACAGCTGCCCTGGGGTGCTCTGATGGAAGAAAGACTGCTGAACACAGGCACCACCGGCCCCTCTGACCACCACCACCTATGAAACGGGTTAAGTGTTTTGCCCAAGGACACAACAGCAGCATTCTCAAACCTGCAACCTTCCGATTGCTGGACAACCCGCTCTACCTCCTGAGCTCCTGCTGCCCAGGCTGCCTCTAGGCTAGACCGGGTCTGCCGTAACACAGAGAGGGGCTGGAGCGAGAAGGTCGTTTGGGTTTGGGTTGGTTTGAGGAGGAGAAAAGCAGGAAGTGATGTGGGAAGGGGTTGGGGAGCCATGATTTTGAGACGTTGGGACCTCCATCATTGTAAGATGGTGGTTCTAGAAGGCTTGACCTGTTTAGAGAGGTCTTTAATTTAACATCAGCAATGTTTTAAAGGTGTGTGTGTGTGTGTGTGTGTGTGTGTGTGTGTGTGTGTGTGTGTGTGTGTACGTGTGTGTGTGTGTGTGTGTGTGCGTGCGTGCGTGCACCAGGCTGGGAGCCTTTCATTGAGCCCTGGCCCTGCTGCCTGTCCTGGCAGCAGCAGACTGGTGGTCACCTCCAGCCTCCACGGTTCAAGATGGAGGTTCAGGCCAAACAGAGACTGGACATCAACATCACCTCTGCGCTGCTTGGTGAGTGAGATGTGTCACACACACAGAGTTCGTTTCACTGGTGCGAGCGCTCTAAGGTCAATACAACAGCACTTACCAGTTGTTCCACGTGTGAAATGTTCTGCAAGAGGAGGCAGGGCTTTGTCAGTTTTAGCCCCAAAGCTGTGGAATGACCTTCTCAAGCAAGATGGCGCCAGCACTGTGCACGGCTTGCCATCTGCTCAGTACTTCTCGTTGTTTGGAGCATCTTTGCCCTCGCTGGATACTCCCTGTTCTTCCTGGATCCGTGCTTGATGGTCGGTGCCTCTCTTCTCCAGTCCTGGCCCCCGGTCCTCGCTACGAATTGGAAAACGTGGAATGGATTTTTCCATCCTCCGGACCTTGGAGCGTGTGAGACTGTCAGATGGAAATGGGCCTGCTCTTCGGATGGCACTCCTTAATACCAGGTCTCTTACAAATAAAACCTTTGTACTGAAGGATTTCTGTGAAGCACGAACGTTGGATTTTTTATTCCTTACGGAAACTTGGATTCGGGATATTGAGTCAGTGGTCTTCTCTGAGCTTCTCCCAGCTGACTGTGCGTTTCATAGCTCCCCTCGTCTGTCGGGCAAAGGGGGAGGCATGACATCTGTTTGGAAATCTAAATTTCGATGCCGAAACATCCCTTCAAATGCTTATCCGAGCTTTGAGTCTCAACTATTTGAAATCCAGTCCGATGTTGTTCTACTTTGTGCAGTGATCTATCGGCCACCTAAGATGGATAAGAACTTTATTGCTGATTTTATGGCAGGTCTCGTTCTTAACTCATTCACTGCCAGCCGTTTCCTGATCGCTAACGGCCTTCGCTGCCAGCGTTTCTCACCGTTTTTACTGTTTTTTTTTAAGAGTCACAGAACGTTGCGCGCTAGCATGATGTCGATGCCAAAACAACCAAAACAAAGCGGAGACTCACCTCTTACATCAGGAAGAATCCGCGTGTTTCGAGCGTTATCCGTTCTTTCATAATTCGTTGTTGAATTGTGATCGGCAGAAGCTTTTCTGGTTCGCGCCTCACTTTTTTGACAGGAACGGCCCAAAACGATCTCCTAATACATGGATGGTCTGCTTCCTGATCATGTGACGTGTGACGTATGCGGATGAAGATCGGCTTCAGGGCTGAGATGTTTGTTCTCTCAGCGCGGGGGCTCGTTCTGATGCTCAAACAGTAAAAAAATGCAAATGATGACTTTAGTCGTCATTGGCAGTGAACGGTTGGATCTAAAATGACGACTTTAATCATCAACGGCAGTGAATGAGTTAATGCTGAAAAGCTTTTAGTTGTTGGTGATTTTAACATTCACGTCTGCTGTGCAACTAAACCTCTGGTTAAGGCTTACCTCTTTTAACCTTATTCAGTCTGTCAGGCCCTACACATGAAAAGGGCCACACATTGGACTTAACATTATCTCTTGGGCTTGATGTTAAAGTGACTGAAATTAGAGACTCCCAGTTTTCAGACCACTTTCCTGTATTATTCAATGTATGTGTGGATATCTCTGAACCGATTCGGGCTCCGTCACAGCGTTGCGGACGCCTTTTGAGCTCACAAACTGCCTCTCACTTTATTGTTTTTTAGTGCCGATAGACTGTGGCGATATCTGAACTGATGAGCTCTTGGAACGTTTTAATTCTACATGCACTGACATTTTGGACTGTATTGCCCCTTTTGGAACTCGGAGCTGTGCGCGCGCTCCTGAACCATGGATGAATGACTCTTTTCGTTCTCTCTGACGAGCTTGTAGAAGAGCTGAGAGAAAATGGAAAAAGGACGGCCTTCATGTCTCGCTGGATATCCTTAGGGATGTTCGAGCTGAATACCAGTGTGCACTAAAGCAGGCACACAGTACTTTTCTATGCCTATTGTAAATAACTCCCATAGGCCTCAGGTCTTATTTAGTGTATTGAGTCGTCTTATCTCCCCTGGTGTGTCTTCTTGCCTAAAGTTTTCTGATCTGTTCTGTGAAAAGTTGAAGAATTTCTTCACAGATGAGATCACCTCTTAGATCATCTTCCCCTTCCTCTCTGGTGGACACAGCCTCTTCACAACCTTGCTCAACTGCTTTTGACCAGTTTGAGCTTTTGTCTCTCTCTGACCTCTCTAAGGTGGTTCACCAGTCAAGACCTTCCTGCAGCCCACTGGATAGTATCCACCCATCACATTTAAAAATGTCTTTTCTACTATTGGGCCCATTTTTTTACTTATTATAAACACTTGCTTATCTGCTGGTCATGTCCCTGCCGCCTTTAAACGTGCTGTTATTCAGAAACCTGATCTCGATCCCATGGTGCTCTCCAACTACAGGCCTATCTCCAAGTTACCTTTCCTTTCTAAGGTCATGGAGACAATTGTCTACAGGCAGCGGCAGGACTACCTCAACCATTTTGGTATTTTAGAGAAGTTTCAATCAGGTTTTAAGCAATACCGCAGTACGGAGACTGCTCTTTTAAGAATATTTAACGATATATTTTTAACTATCGATTCCGGTCATTCAGCTGTATTGATCCATTTAGACCTAATAGCGCCCTTTGATACGGTGGACCATCAGATCCTTTTATCCCGCCTAGAGCATGACGTTGGTATCCGGGGCTCAGAGTTGCAGTGGTTTAAGTCCTTCCTGTCAGACAGGACTTTTACAGTAAATATGGGGCAGTGCTGTTCGTCTCCAGCGAAACTTAGTTGTGGTGTCCCTCAAGGTTCAGTTTTGGGCCCACTCTTGTTCTCGCTGTATATGTTGCCTCTTGGCGCAATCTTTCATAAGCATGGCATCTCGTATCACTTCTTTGCGGACGATGTGCAGATATGTGTCCCACTACATTCTCGAAGGCCAATGTGTACAGCACTTTGTGCAGTCTCTGATTGTTGGAAATGTGCTATATAAATAAACTTGACATTGACATTCCACAGACAAGCACCCTCCCCGAGTCGGATGAAGACTCACCTCAGCTCATGACTAGCCATACTTTTAGATATTGAGGTTTAGTGTGATCCTGTTTTAGTGTGTTCTTTTATCAACATTTAGCTTTGATCTCCTGTTGTTATTGTCTTATTGTTTATTTTGTGGGCCCTTGCTTGGATCAGTGTTTATGTGTGTGCAGTGCTTTGGTTCACCTTCTAGTTAATGAAAAGCATGTTATAAACAAAGTTGATGATGATGTGTTTTCTAGAACAATACACCACCACCAAGAGATCCTGGATGGCTGACTATTGGGTGGAGGACAGGCAGGAGCTGAAGACATCCCCCACTCTGCCATGGATAGGCTCCTCAGTGGACCCTCCTAGCTTTGGTCAGAGTGAGTTTCTGTCATACACAGAACCATGAAATTGGTTCAGTGCCTGAAGCTGAAATATCTAAGGATCCATCTTATTCCACTCTACCAAAAACCGTGAATGCGCGCTAGGATGATGTCAACGCCAACACTAACAAAACAAAGCGGAGACTCACGTCTTACATCTGGAAGAATCCGCGCGTTTCGAGCGTTATCCGTTCTTTCAAAATGCGTTGTTGAATTGTGATCGGCAGAAGCTTTTCTGGTTCGCGCCTCACTTTTTTTACAGCAGCAGCCCAAAACGATCTCCTAACACATGGATTTCCTGCCTCTTGATCACGTGACGTGTGACGTACGCGGATGAAGATCGGCTTTAGAGCTGAGATGTTTGTTCTCATGGTGCGGGGGCTCGTCCACACAGTAAAAAATGCAAATGGCGATGTTGGATAATTTTATCAATCCAGGATTACCTCTGAGAGAGTTCAAAGTACAGGGGGTTATGGTAATTAATTTAATTTATCAAATCCAATACCAATAATCAACAATCAATTTAGACTTTGCAAAGTGGAGAGGAAATGAATACACACCACACAACAGTCGCCAGTTTCACTCTCATCAGGCTGACGCCTTCCGACAGTATTTATTAAGCAGACACACAAAAAGATAAACGCACACACGTTCGACATTCCTGACAGACTCTCAGGCAGGAAGACACTCCAGGTGTATTTCTAAAACAACAAAGCTGTCTGGACTTTCTCAAGGGAGTTCTACTGATAAAGAGACCAGTACCAGGACTGGTACCGAGGGCAAGGTCAGTCCTCCCTGTAAGAACTACAAAAGCCTGCCTGTTCCCAGAGTAAAATAAATGGATGAAACTTCGTTTAAAAACATCAGATGTTAAACCGTTAAGGACATTAATAACAGTAATAAAGTTAATATCAGTTTTTATCCATCAGGCGACTTAAGTCATCATTGGCAGTGAACAAGTTAATATCGAGTGGAAGCTCATTCCAGAGAGAAGGAGCCAAGACCAAGAAATCCTGATCACTTCTAGACCTGTACTGAGTTTGTGGGACAGTCAGTAGCTCCAGGTAAACGGGTTTAGGTGAGGGAAATGACAGGAGATCCATCTGGAGCTGCGCTGGGATTTGGAACACACCATGGAGCGACCTACACTCACCTAAGGGATTATTAGGAACACCTGTTCAACTTCTGCTTAATGCAATTATGTAATCAACCAGGGTTGCCCTTACATAGGTGTAGCCGTGGCGGGCCGCCACGGCTGAAATCTTACTGCCACGCCTACAAGATCCCAAGTTTTATTTATTTATTTATTTTGCGCTGTTTCCCGAAGAAGCAGCGGGAACTACTATGCTGTCGCTTGTGATCACAGCCGGCGGCAGCAAGAAGGAGCAGGCAGGGCAAGGTGCAGTTACAGCATAAGTTACTGAGTTTAAAATTAGAAAGGTAGCAGTGGATCTAATGCTTTTACGTTTACATGTTTCAGCAGCATTAAGATAAACGAGTGTTGACGATCTTGACAGGGTTTCCTCCCCCCACCAGGCTAAGCGTCACTTATTCATGTAAAATTTATTTTTTCATGTCTGACTTTAACCGCATCTAATACTGTATTACGGCGTGAGCGCAACAGCGACAACTTAAGATCGATGCGTGAGCAGCCTGAGAGGTCGGGTGTTTTCATCTGAACCCTTAAAACCTCCAGCAGGCTACGCTGCTCTATTGACGTGTTAGCGCGCGGCGCTAACAACTTAGCGACGTGACATGTCTCGGAGAAAGCGTAAAAACACGTTGGACGCTTCTTCTGAAGCGGGAAAATAACACCTCTTCTTAAGCAGAGCACGACGTCACCTCGGCTCGTTCACGGCCGAGCCGGTACCGGACTGAGCTCGATAACTGACCCAGCACAGCCACTGGGTCGTTGGAGCTGCCCCGTGACTGCCTGATGGAAAACCAGCGGGTTTCATCAGACTCATAGTTTGTTGTTTTTGCTGGGGACCCCCTGTATTTTACCGCTCCCTCCTGCAGTCTTCCCCTATTAACATTTAAAATGATTCTGTAAACTCGTGTATCAATAGAAACAATCTCTGCCTCTGCCAGCTGCAGTAAATGTAGTTTCCAAATAATAAATAAGAGGTGCATTCATCTGTGGATCTCCTTTGATCCACATTAGTGATATTCTCAGCACCAGAACAGTGAAGCAAAGAAAGAATCCTGAGTTTGTTAGTAATTTTATTTATTAGGTGCATCTAACCTGTTCTATTCTTCTCTGAAATGAGATCAAACCAGTGCTTCTATGGGTTGTCTCCACTCTGCACTGGAAAATTTTACTTTATTTAGAGACGTGTCATAATTTCTCCCCAAGCCCCCCCACCCCCCCCCCCCCCCCCCCCCACCCACACACACACACACACACACACACACACACACACCACCACAGCTGGAAAAATTCCTAGGGGAAACACTGAATCAACCAATCACATGGCAGTTGCTTCAGTGCATTTAGGGGCGTGGTCCTGGTCAAGACCATCTCCTGAACTCCAAACTGAAGGTCAGAATGGGAAAGAAAGATGATTTAAGCTATTTTGAGTGTGGCATGGTTGTTGGTGCCAGACGGGCCGGTCTGAGCATTTCACAATCTGCTCAGTTACTGGGATTTTCACCCACAACCATTTCTAGGGTTTACAAGGAATGGTGTGAAAAGGGAAAAACATCCAGTATGCGGCAGTCCTGTGGGCCACAATGCCTTGTTGATGCTAGAGGTCAGAGGAGAATGGGCCGACTGATTCAAGCTGATAGAAGAGCCTAACCCTCGTTATAACCTTAGGAACGCAGCAAAGCATCTGTGAAGCCACAACACGCACAACCTTAAGGCGGATGGGCTACAGAAGACCCCACCGGGTACCACTCATCTCCACTACAAACAGGAAAAAGAGGCTACAGTCTGCACCAGCTCACCAAAACTGGACAGTTGAAGACTGGAAAAATGCTGCCTGGTCTGATGAGTCTCCATAGGGCCTTACATGGACAAGCACCATCTTACATTGGTGATCTTCTTAGTCCCTACACCCCCAGCAGGTCCCTGAGGTCCAGTGATCAAAGCCTACTGGTTGTGCAGCACCAGGCTAAAGGTCAAAGGTGACAGATCATCTGCTGCTGTGGCCCCCAGACTCTGGACCTCTCTCCCCCTGAGCCTGAGATCAGTGGACTCAGTGGTCTCCTTTAAAAAGCAGCTGAAGACTCACTTGTTCAAGCTGGCTTTTGTATGACCTTCTTCACCTCTCTCTCTTTATTCTGCTCTCCCCACCTATTCCACCTTCCTCAGGATCCACTGGTTTCCCTCTTTCCTGTTCACTCTCTCTCTTTCTTTACATTTTTTCTTTTAAATCCCAATTGCCTATTTTTGCTCATTTTAAATATATTTTTAAACATTTTCAAAACACTTTTTTTCTATTTTTACAATTTTTATATTTTTTGTTTTTGTTTTTGTGAAGCGCCTCGTGATTTTTATCTTGAGAGGCGCTATAGAAATGATATTTTCTTCTTCTTCTTCTTCCATTTCTGTTCAGACATTCAGACGGTAGAGTCAGAATTGGGCGTAAACAGAATGAGAACATGGATCCATCATGCCTTGTTACCACTGTGCTGGCTGGTGGTGGTGGTGTCATGGTGTGGGGGATGTTTTCTTGGCACACTTTAGGCCCCTTAGTGCCAAATGGGCATGGTTTAAATGCTACGGGCCACCTGAGCATTGTTTCTGACCATGTCCACCCCTTCATGGCCACCATGTACCCGTCCTCTGATGGCTACTTCCAGCAGGATAACGCACCATGTCATAAAGCTCCGATCATTTCTAACTGGTTTCTTGAACATGACGATGAGTTCACTACTACAACGACCCCCACAGTCACCAGATCTCAACCCGATAGAGCATCTTTGGGATGAGGTGGAACGGGAGCTTCGTGCCCTGGATGTGCATCCCACACATCTCCATCATCTGCAAGATGCTGTCCTATCAATATGGGCCGACATTTCTAAAGAATGCTTTCAGCACCTTGTTGAATCAACGCCACGTAGAATTAAGGCAGTTCTGAAGGAGAAAGGGGGTCAAACACCGTATTAGTGTGGTGGTCCTGATAATCCTTTAAGTGAGGGTATAAACCGCACATATCTGATTCCAGTCCAGATTCTATTTTACAACTACGAGAACTCCAGAACCTCGTCTGCTCTCCGATTACACACACTTTGTCATGGTAACCAGACTGACTGACAGCTAAGAGGCTGCATTCGGACATTTCCAAATAAAACTAACTCCACCCAGAATGACTCGTTAAATGTAAATGAGAGCCTGTTACTCTACGATTTATCAGATTCAAGTTTATTTAGTCCTTGTTTGGTGTATTTGCACTTTGGCAGCCAGTGTCTCAATCTCGCAAGTTTTCTTTTATTCTAGGTAGAACACAGGGAATCGGCTAAAGTGCTGAGGGCGTAGCGTGACCAAATACAGTTTATTGATGGCGATGTAGATGACTGAGAAAGGACACGAGCACCTGGTAGCTCAGGTGGATTACAGGCGTACGAGAGGCCTCCGTGTCTTTCATAAATCAGGATTTTGACCCTTCATACGAACGTTCTAAATTTCGTCCGTAGGAAGGATTTCATAACAAATGAATAACCTCTTCAGCAAGCCCCCTAGAGACATTTGATTATGCACAAGCTGCAGGTGACCGGCTCAGGTTTACGCTGAGCAGAAGGAAGTTCAGACCACTGTAGGTAAAATGTTTAATTGTTTGAATGTTACTGGGGCGCTCTGATCAGCCTGTTTGGACTAAGTATTCATAAAAAATGAGTGGAAATTTAACGGTATTGAATGATAATAAAAACTAAAAGCTGCTTCTGCTGGGTAGATAAACAAAGAAAGTAAAATAAATATTGCTACTTGGTTTTGAAGCTCAAGGCAGACCAGAAATCTCTTCATATAGCTCTTGACCAGAGCTATTCAATTC